TCGCTCGTCACAATCAATCAGAATCCTCCTTGCCATTGCAACATATTATGACTATGAAATATGGCAGATGGATGTTAAAGCAACATTCCTTAATGGACGTATACTTGGGGAAGTGTACATGACACAACCTGAAGATTTTGTGTGTCCAGAGGACTTTGGAAAGGTGTACAAGCTTTAAAGATCCATTTATGAATTGAAGCAAGCATCTTGGAGCTGGAATCAACATTTTGATGAAGTAATCAAAGAGTTTAGATTCATTCAAAATATTGATGAACTTTGTGTTTATAAAAGGGTTAATGGTAGCACAGTTATATTTCTAGTGCTATATGTAGATGATATCCTACTCATTGGGAATGACGTTCCTACCTTGTAAAATGTCAAGTCTTGGTTAGGAAAATCTTTCTTTATGAAGGACTTAGGTGAAGCCACTTACATCCTTCGGATTAAGATCTATAGAGATAGATCTAAAAGGCTGATAGGCCTAAGTCAAAGAACATACATAGACAAGATATTGTATAGGTTCAGTATGCAGGATTCAAAGAGGGGTTTCATCCCCATATCTTATGGCATTCATCTCAGCAAAGGCCAGTGTCCTAATACACAAAATCAATAAGATTGCATGAGTAAGGTTCCATATGCCTCGATAATTAGATCTATCATATATGCCATGCTGTGCATTCGACCGGATGTTTCATTTGCCTTAAGTATGACTAGTAGATACCAAGCAGATCTAGGAGAGGATCATTGGACTGCTGTCAAGAATATCCTGAAGTACTTAAGAAGGATTAAGGATTTATTCTTGGTATATGGCGAATTGAATAACGAGCTAGTTGTAACAGGTTACATAGATGCAAGCTTCCAAACTGACCAGGATGACCTTAAATCATAATCAGGATATGTGTTCACCTTAAATGGTGGGGTAATGAGCTGGAAGAGCTCAAAGCAGAGCACAACAGCTGATTCTGCAATAGAAATTGAGTATATAGCAGTATCAGATGCAGCTAAGGAAGCCATTTAGATCAGGAAGTTCATTACTGAACTAGGAGTGGTGCTAAGCATCTCAGATCCAATAAACTTGTTCTGTGACAATAACGGTGCAATTGCACAGAGCAAGGAGCCAAAGTCAGACCAAAAGACTAAGCATATACTTAGGCATTTCCACCTTATCAGAGAGATCAATGATAGAGGTGATATAAAAATATGCAAAGTAGCAGGAGAAGACAATGTTGCTGATCCTTTTACAAAGCCTCTTGCACAGGTGAAGCATGAACGTCATGTCAGGACAATCGGAATTAGACAAATTAATAATTGTACCTAGTGCAAGTGGGAGGATGTTGGAAATTGTACCCTAGGGCCAATCATTATACTATACACATTGTTATTTAATGAATTTCTCTTTTGTTATCATAACAATTGCATGTTCAATATGATAACTGTATTCCCGGACAAACCATAATGATTGTCCTAAATGTCCCTGGTCGGTTATCTTTGAGGGATCATAGATGAAACAAGATTGGTATAACTTTAATTAATTATAGAGATACAAATTAAAGTCATAGGCACTTGAAAGAGTACAAAGTGCTAGACTGACCCGCTATGAGAAAGCTGCAGGTACAAGTCATAAGCTTATCTCATATATAACTATATCACTAAGCCCTTTGACCTGAGATCACCATGGATTCCTACATGATGACCACTAAACTTTGACCTAGTCAAAAGTCACCTTTGATTGGGTGATCATAAAGGCTATGATTGAGTTTAGTGATATTCATGTAGAGGAATATGAGTGGTCAAGATGGATTTGTCCCTCACATTAAGTGAGAGATATTATTGGGCCCCTCGATGAGTAAGACTAAGAAAATGTATGACCATACTACAATAGAAAGGATTTTTCCATTGGGTTTTTCCATTGCTACTATCAGTCTACTCAAAGATTGAGAAAGTAATGGTTAGGTAAAGGAGAATGACAACTTCATGTCTCATACTTGACCGAAATATCGTGTGACAAAAGGGATGTGATATGGTTGCATGATAGGTTACATTGGATCATCGATCCCCATGTGAATTGGGTAGTTGCAATGTCTTATTAGAGGCCACTTGTAACTTGTGAGCTAATAGTGTAATTATCCCACTGCCAATTTCATATGGGCCTATAGGGTCACACACAAGAACAGCCCAACTCGAGCTATAATGTCCAAGTTCGTTGAATCTGAAATATGTCTAGATTCAACAAATGTAATATAGGGTGAATGAATTATATATAGATATATATTTAAATATTTATTTGATAAATATTTATATATATATTTATATGAAATATAAAATTCAAAATATAATTATATATATAGATATATATATATCAGATATATATATATATATGATATATGTACATGATATATAAAATTAAATATAGATAATAATAATATATATATATTTCGAAATATATATGTATATATATATTTGTATATATATAATAATATGTATATGTGATATATATTATATTATATTATATTATATTCTCTTATGTTAGTTTTAAATTTGATTTTATATGATAGATTAAATTTAATAACTAACATGATAAGAGAGAATATTATGTCAGTTTTATAATTTGAATTTATAAGATGAATTTGAATTAGATATGATATTATGGATTAAATTTATGAGATGAATTTAATTAAATTTTCGTGAGCTTTTAAGTGGAAGACAAAACCCTTATCTATATACTATATATAGATAGGGACGTCCTTATAAAGGCAGAGAGAGAGAGAGAGAATTAGAAAAGTTTTGACGGTAAAAATACTTTGAGAGCCACGAAACACCTTATAGAAAGAAAAATTAACGTTCAAAGAAGAACGGACGCTAAGAGCGCTAGCACGCTGTTCGAGTTAGAGAGATGTTCATGTGGATACTGGTAAAGGGAGCAGATCTATGTTGTCAACTCCTGAGATCCAGACGTGCGCCAACTTTAAAGAATTAAAAGGTAACTCTTTTATCCACCTTGACTTAAACAAGTTCATTCGGTCCATATCAAGATAAGGACTTTAAAATTTTAATCTTCCATTGTGCCTCCCTATCCAACAAAAGTTGCTTGTAATATGACAGTTAAATGTTATTTAATTACAATTGATTTATGATTTCCATTTATTATAGTTACTTGTTTTGTTACCAATCACATTTATCAAAATTATCTTAGATTTATTTGATATTTATCGATATGTCTCAGTATGGTGATTAAATATTCTTTCTTCGAATATACTTATTTCTTTCTTGGTATCAAAACCTCATTTATTAGTTAATTAAGTTTTGATAGCTTGAACTTTGTCCAGGCAAGCTCTATCCTCTAGCCCTTCCTCTTTATTTTACTTTCAGTATTTTGATATCTTTCCGTTAGTTTTGACCTTTGTTTATATATTTTGATGGTTCACCTTGAAATTTCGCTTAGTGATTTATTTATGCAAGAATCGCTCTTAGATGTTTTTTGCCAAATGGCTTATTTGTCCGACAATCACTTTTGATTTTTCTCTGCCTTGTATTCCATTTCTTTGGAAGTCACCCTTGATTTTTTTCCTAGTCATTTATTTATTCAAGAATCACCTTCAAGTTTTTTGGTCTAGTAATTCATTTATCTAAGAATCACTTACGAGTTTTCACCTTTTAGTTTTTCATCTAGTGATTCATTTCTTTGAGAATCACTTTTAAATTTTTCCTGTTGGGGATTATAGGTTTTCTGTTTAGAGGGATTCATCTTCAGAATCACTCCTAAGTTTTTTGCTAACCGATTCATCTCCAATGAAAATGACTTCTAGCTTTTAGTTAATAATGACTTATGATTTATGCATATGGCATGTTTTTATTTTCTCTCTTTGAAACCTGCTCCCTATCACACAAAAGTTAATGTTTGCTCTTACTATTGTTGTCACTACCAAACAACTAATTGTTGAGGGAGGGTGTTAAATATGATCAAATTATAATTGATTTATGATTTCCATTTATTGTATTTTCTTATAATGTTTAGATTAATCGATCGCATTTATTATAATTATTGCAGATTGATTTGATATTTATTTGGATATCTCATTCTGTTCTATATAAACCTTTAGATGGCGACTCAAAAACTCATCGTTGTGCCGTCCTAGAATTTTCTTTCTTCAACTATTCTTATTTCTTTCAAAGCTGAATGATAACATGATATTTCATTATAAAACTTATAAGTTCAGATAATTGGCATGTTGCTTCCAGATCCTCGATGTAGACAAATTAGATTTGAGCACAAGTGTGGGGAAAAAAAAAAACGAACAACCTAATAATTTATTTGAAAATTAGTAATTCAACTCAATTTATACGTGTTAGGTGTCGGAGTGAAGTAGGAGACGAATTGCTGATGCAGAGGAGCCTGGCACTTCAGCTTCAACAAGAGCAAGTACAAGCACATTTCTTCCAAGGTTTGCATATTAAGTTTCATTAATCGATGTTCTAACTTTTTTTTTTTAACTTTTTTCTTATGCAATGATTTTATGCATGCATCCATGTTTAATATATTAGTTTGAATAACATTTTTGTGTGTCAACAAAAGCTAAGTCAATTAATGCTATCAATTGAATACAAAATATTACTTACCTGAAAAAACACAATGTCTATGATTATGCAGCATCATCAAAATTTTGCTGACAGGACTCAATGGATGGTACTTCCGAGTTTGACGAATTTGTCTCAAGATTGTTGTATTTATAAGATTCCTGAAGATCTCAGGGAGCAAAACAAAGGTGCCTTCACTCCTCATTTGATTTCAATTGGCCCAATTCACCATAAAAAATCTAAAATTGGAGCAAATGGAACAACAAAAATACTAATGTTTTAGATATTTTCGTGATAAACTATCTTTCGATGAGGACAGACAGAATTTAGAATCATATACTGCTAAGCTTGAAGAGGAAGAAGAACAAATAAGAAAGTGTTATTCAGAAAAATACACTCATTTCGAGAAAAACAGGTTTGCGCGCATGATGCTGTGGGACGCTGTTTTCATCATGGAGCTCTTCTTGAGAAAGAAGGAAGGAGAACTTGATCGTGATTTCCTATTTAAGAATTCCACGATTAGTAAGATCATCGAGAGAGATTTGATATTACTTGAAAATCAAATTCCATTTGATCTCCTGCATAGATTATATGATAAGGTTGTTCCAGCCAGTCGGAAGGAACCCTGTCCAAGTTTTCTCGAGCTTGCTCGAGACTACTTTGAAATTTATGATCCTTATGCTGATAAGTACTCAGTGGACAAAATCAATGCCAATAATCTGCTCAAGCAACACTGGGACAAACCCAAACATTTCACTGATTTAATTAGATATTTCATGATTCCGCAATATTTGGTGCAGGATTTGACCCAGATGAGAATGATCGTCTTCCTATCATAAAGACTGCAACAAAGTTGAAAGGATTAGGCATAACTTTTGAGAAAATTTCAAACACATGTTTGCTAGATGTCAAGTTCGAGAAAGAGGAATATTTGAATTGGTTGAGTTGCTTTGGCTTCTCGCAAAAGGGGTTCAAAGCTCGTTTGCTAATCCCAGTAGTGAGGGTTGACTACTCCACAGAATCTGTCCTACGCGACCTCATGGCCTTTGAACAATATTCCTACCCTAAGCATCATTATGTTTCCAGTTATGTTGCTCTCATTGGTTATCTCACTCACAGTAAAGAAGATGTAGACGTGATGGTTGAGGACAAAGTTATTACTCATGATCTGGGGAGCGACAAAGAGTTGGCCCAGCTGATCAATATTCTTTGCAAAAACAATGTTCTGAATTGGGCTCCACATGTTATGGCACAGTTTCAAACAGATTGAATAAGCACTACAACAGCCAATATAACAAAACTCTTGCCTTGTTATCTTCAGTATACTTCGCGGACCTTTGGAGAGGCACCGCAACAGTAGCGGCCATTATTGTCATTCTTTTTGCAATCACAAACTTTGTTAAAAATAATGGATTTCGCACATCCTAAGAAATAATGTTCTCTCACCTGCTAATATTGGTGGTTCTTGTTTTACTTTGTATTTGTAATATATTTATGTTTTCATGACTGTATTGTATTTATTTCAAAACATATAAAGATTGCATTTTGTCTATATCTATGTTAGATTCAACAAAGTCTTATGCTGGTTATTGAGGGCTTAACATAACTCTCCTCCTTTAGTTGGGCTTGGGACTAGTTGTTGTTGTATATACATGTTGCATTTTATTTCACATATCCAACATGCATGCATTGAGCTTGCCAGTTAATTGTTTGTATGTTTGATATTGTTGAAGTAGTATACCTAAGAAATTGTGTCCAATTTCGTTTGTTTCATGTAATGTTCTAAATAGGGGAAAGAAGTATTTGGTAAAAGCAAAAAAAGAAAGACAGAAAGAATGAAAGAAATTCATGAGACCTAATGCATATAGTAAAAATGCTGGATGTAAGTTACGCAAATTTTATGCCAAAAAAAAAAAAAACAATAAAACGGGGGAGAAGAAAGAGAGTGTTGAAGACTGATCACTAAGAGAGTTCCATCATGCTTCTCCTTTTCTCACTTCATCACATTAACAGAAATATTCCCTCAAGGTAAAGAGAGAAAATGATATTTTACTTTTATTTATAAGTACATGCATATCATTACATTTTCATTACAAGATTTTTCTTTTATCTTCCATTAAATTTTGGTGAAAGAAAATATGTTATTAAGGTATGTGTATTTAAGAGGAATAAAGTTGAAAATTTATTAAATCTTTAGAGAAAGTTTATGAGTTTTAAGATATTTTTTAATTCCAGTAAAATATGTTAAAAGTGACTTATAAATAAAAATAGAGCAAGTATTATATATTATAACTTCAGCAGATATTACACAATTAGCAACAATGCACCACCACGGTTCGGAGAAAAGAGTAATGAAAAAAATGTTTATAGCATGAAAAATGAAAAACTTTATCCTCTGCCTTTCCTATTCTCATTATAATTTTTGGTTAAAGATCACTTTTGTTCTTCAATTATTCGCGTAGGAGCATATGGTATTCTAAATTTTTAGTGGTGCAGTATCCCCCTTCAACAAATGGTGAAATTTTGTTTCTACTGTTAAAATGTTAAGTTTAATTATTAGTTGACTTAAAAATTACAAAAAAAAGACCTAAAAAATTATATTAAAGAACCCTATAAGAAAATTGATATTTATTAAGTCCCTTAAATTACAAATAAATTTCAAAACACTAATGATATTTCTTACACATATAAAAGACTAAAATTCTAGTTTGACGAGCTACTTTGACCAACTACTAGGTGGTTATTGGATTATTATTGCTGGCAATAACACTACTAAAAATTATTAAATATTAAAGTGTTAATGTTTTAATAAGATATTATTAAAAAATATTAAAGTGAACATCCGGTAGCCTGTCAAAATAGTTTATCAAAATGGTATTTTAATCTAGTCTTTTACATAATAAGAAATAATATTTGTCTCTTGGTATTTATTGTAATTAGATAATTTAATTGATATCATTTTTATAGGATTTTTATTTGTAATTTTTGAATCTTTTTTTTTCAATTTTTATGTCCTTTTCTATAATTTTTGAATAAATTAACCGTCAAAATTAATGGTCAAAATACCTTTTAACCCTATATTTTTAAAATAATAAATATAAGTTGTTCACATTTGATCCATGAGGAACCCAAATTATTACTTTTTGTGGCATGGTGTAACACCCTTATTGTTATGAACAAAAAATTATCATATATTAATAATAACAACTTGCCAATTAGACACTAGCTTTCAAGCCTACAACCATTTTCCATAAATTAAACAAAAACAAAAAAGAAACTTTAATATAAAGAACAAGGCTCAACTCAAAATCAAATAAAATTAACTCTTTAAATAATTTGGAGGACCCAATTTACCATAATTTATTAAATGTTTCAAAACAAATAAAATAGTAACTTAAATATACAATCCTCTGTCATGGCAATAAACAAAATGTAAACTGAACATGTGTGATACCTACAGGATAATTGAATCATCACTCAATTCTCCAATGCCTTCCCTTGTGACTTGACGAAACCCTTACCTAAAAATTGTAAAGGGTAACAAATGAGACCTAACTTCTTAGTAATAAATGAGAATTCTAATATACCAACAAACCAATTCAAAATCTCATTTTGTAACATGTATTTATATAAATAATTTACTTTGCAAAACTAGTTAACAAATGAGTTTTCAAAAGGGAACACTATTTGTACAAGTCAAAATTATATTATAAATAATCATATAATAGGTGATGCCATCCCCGATCCTTTCTTATGCCTCTCATCCACCTTATCTCACTACCAGAAGTCTACCTTGAGGATACATTCCGTAACATCCCGAAATTTTAAGACTCGAATTTATTTTAAAAAAATAAAATAAAATATTTATAATTAAATTAAAATTAAGAATAATTTGATAGAGGTCTAGAGTTTAAATTTTTCTAAGCAAAAGTTGGGTTTTATTTTATTTTTAACTATGGAAAAAATTACCAAAGTTAACCCAGGCTTTTGTGCTATAATAAAAAATGTTGGGCCCTTTCTTGTAATTTCTCCATAGTCTTGTATAAGTTTTTTAAAGAGAAACTAAACGCAGAAACGCAGAAAATGAACAAAGAAAGAAACAAATGGACGAGAGAGTGAGAGGAAGAAGAGAGGAGGAAGAGAGGGAGTGAGGTTCGGATCTAGGAGGCTTTGTAGCCGTTGTGAGCTCAGCTACGCGATAGATAAACTCCCTACTTCAATCCTCTTCCCTTCCTCTTTGTTTTCCTCAATTTTAGAAAAGGAAATTTGATCCAAAAGGCTTTATTCTTGTAAGCTTTAATTTCCTTGGGTCCTTAGGAGGTTGTTTTTGAGTTTCTACATGATGCCCTAATGTTTTGAGCGGGTAATTGGGTGAAAAATGGAGTTTTAGGGAAAAAGTCAAACCCTAAGAGGTTGGGTTTTGCTCCTCAATAGTTTAAACCTATTGATTTAGTTATAATCTTACTATTTGAGCCCAATAAGATTTAAATTAAGATTTGGTTTTCATTATAAGGACTAATGGTAAAAGTTGGTGACACTAAGTGAAGGTTTTTAATTAATTAAAAATTATATGAATTGAAAATTGGCCTAGTGGTGGCTAATAAATGGTTTTGGTAGTTAAGTGATATTATGTGAATGGTTGGTTTAATATATGGACCATTGGGATGGATTATGGCTTATTGACCCAAGTTATGTGACCTGAGTTATAGTCTTCTTATATGCTATTTACCATGAAAAGTAATGTGGATCACTTATATGTTAGAGAGAATGTTGGTGGAACTTATTGAGAAGTTAAGGAACAAGCCAAGTCTTATTTTGTATAAGGGGAACACTTTTAGTACCAAAGGGTTGAGGTAACAGGGAAATTTATATTTCTTATTGCTTTGTTTAGCTATTTTTGAGTAGATAATATTATCTAGCATGCATTACATGTTTTAAATAATAGAATGCAAATAAAATGTGTTTTAGAAGGGTTTATGGGGTATTGCTTTAATAATAATGCATCTATGTTTACTATTTATTTAATAATGATGTTACTCATGAAAATAAGATTATTAGCATGCATTGTGATCATAAAAAAATGAGAAGTTGCACTTAGGGAGGTGAAACTAGGTTTGGTACCTTAGATAGGCTAAGGAACCGCTTAAGGGATGAATTATGAGTGTTATACTACTTTGAGTGTTGAAGTGGTCAATACTCGAGAAAGGTAGAAAAAAGGGTAGGAGGCATGATCTTGGTGGGAGCTCACCAATGGGGAGATGCAGTCTTGTGATATTCTATGGCTCACTGTCAGTACTCAGTGTTGCCTTTCATATTGTGGGCTCAATATACTAAGTGGTTAGTGGATTGAGTGTTCAACACCTCTTAATGGGGGAGGAAATCCAGCATATGAAGTGTGAGATTGAGTACCTAAGCCAAGGTAGCCCTCACATAGAGAGTAAATCAGGCTGGCTTTGGGAGGAAGTTAGCTTTGACTGCTCAAGATTCGTGTCAAAGGGGCACAGGCTGTTCGGTGGATCAGATCATGCCTTAGTTTATATTTTGTGCCTGTGGTGGTACAGTGGGTATAAAGTTTACCTATAAGCTAAAGAGTGCCAAGGGTCATTCTGTTAGTCAAGAAAGGTCATATCGGCCTATCTCATACATTCAAGCATTTTAATTAATTAATTATATATTATTTTGAATCTATTATTTATTTACTTGACTATGGCTTTCCTTTTAATAAGGAATATTGATTTCTCTATTACTGAGACTGCAGTTGTCTCACCCCTTTCTTTACAATATTTACAAGTCTAAGCAAAGGATCCAGTAGTGAACGGGAAAAGAGCTGAGCTAGGGATTTGCTTATGGATTGTAAAGATCTACAGCCCTTTCTTTTGAGCAAGTATATTATAATGTATTTAGGTTAGGGTGCCAGTAGGATGTCACTATACATATATGTGCATATGTGTGGATTGTGTGCTTATGTATGAATTTTTGCCACTTATAGTCTTGTGTTTAGGAAACTTAGTTATGGTATGTGATTTTGATGGATTCATTTGATAGACAAGTTTTTACTACAAGAAAATATTTATTTTGGTGTATATATATGAATATGTGTGATTCTACATGCAATTGCAAAGTGGTTGCATTACGAATTGTATGCTAAGGGCAAACAAACACCTTGGATAGAAAGAGTGGGTGCGTGGGCCCCACGTGGAGCTCTGAGCCAAGTAAAAATATTTAGCATGTGTATTCATATGTGTATTTGATATTTAGAATGGTTTTGGC